CAGAGATGTGGACGCCTGATCCTCCAGCTCCGAGCTAGTGACCTTCGTGTTCGCAGGACAGATGTCATCTCAGGGAAGCCTGCAGGAACACTGCCCAGGGGTGTCTCTCCCTTTTCTCTGCTTCATTCTGCCTCTTTAAGATGACCTTTTATATACTGTTGTTCTTATTCATGATATGTTTCCTTTAGAGTTTAACCCTCAGTGGACAGGCTGATTTCCCTGTTTCCCAGTTCTTGGCAGTTACTTCATTGCCCCTAATCACTACCTAGATAGTCAATGTGGATGTTTTTCCTTAAAGGAGAACACCCAAGTAATGTTTTAAACTTTGATTTTTTTCAATCTGGACAATGAAAGATAAAAACTTCTTTTCGAAAGCTTAGGTAGTAGGCCTGTCTGAGTCCTTGCTCTCTGCTGGGCACACGCCTCTGCCGGTACCTCCTGTCTTGCCGAGGTTTTCTCCTGAGGCAAAGACGTTGGCAGTTCAGGGCCTCAGATTGCTCACAGTTGTCGAGAGTCTTGGCACCGGGTTGCTTGGCAGCTAGCACGAGTCCAGGACAGACACATCTCAAGGCTATCCCCCTTGTCTTAGTATCTCAGACTACGCCCCAAGACCTTCACAGATGCCAAGTATCACCAAACTGTCAGTTATAGAATGATTTTTTTGTTCCAAAGAGAAAGGCTGGGGACCATTAGTCATTGTACAGATTATCTACCTGTAAAAGAGGACTATTGTCACGGTGTTGCCATTATTACAGATTTCTTTCCAGACTAGCCACGCACATACCATCTAGCTATTCAAACAGAATTTTATTATTAATGACAAAATGTATTTAATGATGAGAGGCATTGTAGAACATTACATGATCTAGGAGATTGTGAGTACTATAATTCAAGTATAGATTTCCTGGATGTGTAAACAAATGAACAGGATGTCTGAGTAAATTCCAGAAATGTTCTGTTTACATATAAAGATGGGAATAAATTACTCGAGGGTAAATTGGCTCATCACTCTATCTTTTTGTAAATAACGTTTGCATATGTGCTTTTGAGCATCTGGCTTTATTCTACACTAAAGTTAAGTAGTCATGATTGATTGTGTTACCCCTGGGGAGGACTTTGATGAATTTTTATGACTGTACAAAATGTGAGCTTAAAATAAAATTGGCTAATTCCCTAATTTCTCTAATAAATATTACTGGGTTTCATTGGTGATACATTGAAATGAGCACCAGTTTTGAACATTTAGAAAATGTGGATTCATATTTAGATGCTGCCACTCTTAGAAATTGTTTGGTTTTAGAAAATAGAGCCCATTCGAACTAGCTTCAGCCAAAAAAGAGGGACTTAGCAAAGATTTATGAGGGTATCTTCCAGAATCCCAGAACGAGAACTGTGGCTGGACTGGAAAAGTCTTGTCACCGGTTTCTCCCTTTGTCTCAGTAGAAGCAAACGGTCTCTGCCTCTCCCTTCCCATCTGCTGCCTCTCCCTTGACCTCCCCTCCTTTTCTGCTTTATCGTGCACGTGCTCACCCAAGCCCTGCCTTTAACACCCTTTCTTGTTTTAGGTGTCCAACAAAAACTAGCTTGGTTTTCCAGGGTACCAATTCCCAGTTTCTGGGAGAAAATCCGATTGGCTCAACCTGGGTCAGGCACGTGCCTCTTATCCAGTCAGTTCTAGCTGAGGGATTAGGCGGCTGGGGCCATCAGTTCGGGTGGTACCTGGAACTGAGTCTTCTGGGTCTGCGGAAGGGGAGTTTCTCCAGGAATGCGAGTGCTGGGAAGGAGCGACTCGTGGAAAATGGGTGGCATCTCTAGAATAATGCGTATTATCTCTGTGACCTTAAGTCTCACTTTTCTCATCTTTGAAGTGAAATAATCATGCTCTCCCTCTCACTAGTTCCTGTGACGATCAGAAAAGACACAGTACATAAAAACTTAAATTGCAAAGTTTTGTGCCAGGGTTAGAAACAAATCAAGTAAGTCAGTTAGTTAAACCACATCATGTATGCTTTTCTGTGAATTGACAGGATCTATTTGGGGAGTAATACTTATATCTAATATTCTGCTAAATGCCATTATAATGACCTATAATAAATTATTCCAATTAAAAACAGATTTAAATGGTATAACTACACAAAATTTTTTAATAGATTTGGATTTAAGTTTAATAACCCAACACATATACATTGTTTTAAAGCATAGAATTAGATATAGATTTACAACACAACTGAGTTTTTTGAGCTCCTAATATGTGCCATAGGGTACAAAGAAGGATGCAAGGCTGCTAAGAAGTATTGGGTTCCTTATCCTCAGGGAGCTTTTGTCAAGGCAAGAAAAAGGTATACCAAGAGAAAATGATAGAAGTAGTAGGCAGTGCATGATAAATGCAAATTAGACTATAGAAGTTCATAAATTGGAGAGGTCATTGAAGGCCATCATGGTCAAGGAAAGCTTTCTAGAAGAAGCTGGGATTTTAAACATGAGTAGAGTCAAATAGGGAAGCTGAAAGAGAGTAAGTCCTTCAGGGAATAGAATGCAAAGTCTTACAAGTCAACTGCCCAGAATGGAATTTTTTTCTTTGTTTTGAGGAAGATTAGCCCTGAGCTAACTACTGCCAGTCCTCCTCTTTTTGCTGAGGAAGCCTGGCCCTGAGCTAACATCCGCGCCCATCTTCCTCTACTTTATATATGGGACGCCTACCACAGCATGGCGTGCCAAGTGGTGCCATGTCTGCACCCAGGATCCGAACCGGTGAACCCCAGGCTGCTGAGAAGCAGAACGTGTGAACTTAACCGCTGTGCCACCGGGCCGGCCCCCAGAATGGAATTTTTTTAAATAGGATGCTCTGTTGAGTCTGAGGGATAGTAGGCCTTGAATTCAAGCCTGAGCACTTCAGGCTCTATCCTTTGAGCTTTTGAAGGTTCTGGAACAAAGGAATTACATTAAGGAGGCACTATTTTAGGCAGAGTAATCTCCCTTGTGCCACTGAACAAGATGGGCTTGAGAAGAGTCTGGTGGCCTCATCTCCTGAGTCTCAGGCCTCCTTCCAAAAACACTAGGACAAACACTTTTATGGTGGGAATGCTGATTGCCGCCTAAATAAAAGAGGTTTCACTTTCTGTGTTCCAATCTGTCCCATTTTCCTTAAACATAGATTGTTTTTCAGATTATAATTATGTTTCACTTTATCTTCTTCACCTGCCATGTCTCCAGATTCTTGTTTAAGGCCAGCACAAAACTAATTTCAGTAGATTTTACTATTTTAGAGTAGGGAGCATACTTAGGGAAAGATTACGCGACATAAGTCCTTATCAGTCCTCGTGTAGGTTCATTTTCAGTGAGTACACTTTGAATCAACCTGGTGTTCCTGGCTCATGTGAGCTCTCACCTGACACTGCACTCATGGGGGTACTTTGTAAATACTGTTGAAGTCTAAGTGGTAAATGCCCAAGCTTGTCTCCCTTGGTGTTTTAGTCAGCTGTGTCATCATTTGGGAAATGTCAGTAAGGTTGAGGAACAGCCACTGCTGTTCTGTAGGCTCATACTGGAGGTGCCAGCTTGGGTTGTGAAGTGCCTGACCACTGTCACCACCGGTAGGAACCAGGGTCTAAGCGGGGCTTGCTTGACCCAGCTTTCTTCCCTCATGACCATGTGTGATGGTCGTAGCCCTTTAAAGATAAAATCAGTCTGTCCTAATTTCTGAAAAAATTGTTAGACGTGAGGTGAGGTTGGCTGAGCTGCACAAAAATAACAACAGAAGTTTCTTTTGTCTCCTCGTTCTGACTTGTTTGTAAGCCACCTCTTTAGCATCTCTATGATCACATCAGTGACATAATGCTTTGCATCTCGTTTCTCAAGAGTGTCTGATCATACATGAGCACTGAGGACTGAGGGCTTAGATCTTCAGCCCCAGGGACTGAGAGAGAGGGAGGGAAGGAGAAAGAGAAAGAAGAAAATGTGTGTTTGGCAGGAAGGGTACTCCTTATTCTGAAAGCTTCGAATCATCAGAGAAAAGAGCTCATTGCATACCACAGCTCTGATGAGTCATTCTGGATGTAAAAAAAGTAGAGATGGTGGGTCTCAATCACTGAGACTTTGCAGTGACTCACTCTGGTGGTTTTACAGTTACCCCGTCCCGCAGGCTTGCCCCTCCTGCCCAATCCTTCTTCCTCCTTAGGAGGAAAATCATTAGGAAGGTTAAATTCAGTCCCGCTGGGTATAGCGTTGACTTCTACACAGAATACTATTTATACATATATGTAACATTCAATCGGAATTCAACCACAGTTTTTTTGTGACCACACGATTTTCCAAGTCTTGCAAATTTTTAAGAAATTTGAATTTTTCAGCACAGTACAGCTTGTCTCCTAATGCCATAGAAAGTAAGATTTCATATTTCCATATGTTGTCCGGGGCTGCTTGAGAAATAATTCTGTGGATTAAAGTTGGGCCAAATATTTTGGTTAAACTGTAGAGCAATTATTTTGAATAAAAGCTTGACTATTCAAAAAAGAAAAATCTAAAACTTAGTTTACAACAAGTGTCAGTAAACTCCTCCAGTGAGCTAAATCCAGGTTGCTGCCCCCTTTTTTTTTTTGTAAATAAAGCTTTATTGGAACACGGGGAAAAAAAGCTTGATTATTCAGCCTATTTTATTACTTTTATTTTCCTGAGGGTTGGGAATAACCAAGTGCAAGTTTACAGTATCTGTGGGGTGGAAACAAGAACATATTAAAACCTGAAAGTGGAAATGAGCATTAAATGCTTTATCTTAGGATATTGTCCGTGTGCTCGTGTTGTAGTGGTAATTCTGATGTAGGACTAAATTCATGATTCAGATGGAACCTCTGAAGGGTTGATCAACATAAATTGTCTATTACCTGTTGCTTCCTCTAAGTATAAAAGAATTTTTCTGTGCAAAGTGCTATCACCCTTTAGTTCTTTTCCAGTTCAAGGTTACCCTTAGGATTTACATCTTTGCCTTTGCTGCTATTCTTTAGGCATATTCAAAACATGAGTGAGATCAAGACTGATGTTGGACGAGCTCGGGCATGGATAAGATTGTCTCTAGAAAAGAAGCTCTTGTCCCAGCATCTCAAGCAGTTGCTGTCTAACCAGCCACTCACCAAGTAAGGATTGCCCCCTGAGGCATTTCTGTTTCTTTGACCTGTGTTTACAAAGCAGATTGCATAAGCTGCCAAACTGATGTCTTCAGCATCAGTTGCTGATTCCTCCGCACGGCATTCTTCCTTTCTAACAGGCATGTGCTTCAGAAACTCTGTCTTGACGTAATATTTGATTATTTCTGGGAGGGCATGAATTTCATGGCCGTTGGCCAGATTTCTCTGTTCTAATCAACAAAAACAGCTAAGTAGTCCCCAAAGACTGACAGTAACATCCAAAAGATGGGTTGAATTTATGTAAACTTTTTTGTCATATTGTAAAGATCACAACAAAATCTGGAGTAGCAGAAAAAAAAGAGTTCACAGTAAAGGACTTCTTCTGAGAGTCCTGCCAATTCTTACATTCAACAGTTTAGAGCCAGGAAACTAATCAAGTACATATTAATTAATTGTTAAGTGTTTTGATAGTTTCCTTTACTGGATCCAGAAACCTTCCTGGGTGAAATGTATCATCTGGATAAATACGTACGTTAGAGCTAATGTGAAGGCTAAGGATTTTGAGTTCTCTAGAGCAAAGGTATGCAGAGAATTCAACCAAGACCTCAAACCTGACAGTGTCGGAATCGCATCTTGGTAACCCAATTCTTTCCATAGTTTTGCATTTGTACATATCACGGTTGGATTACTTACCCCCTGGAGCACTTTAGGATGTCTTCATGTCCAAAGAATAGGTTTGATAAAGAATGCAGTGTGAAGTCTGGCTGGTGAACCTGAGCTTGTTCTCTTAAAACTGGCTACGTGCCCACCCATCCCAGCCCATCAAAAGTCATTCATGCACGTTGTTTCCAAAGTACAAAGAAGAAAATGATAATCATTTAAAATCCTACCACATAAAAGTGAATACTGTTTCATGTTTTCTTCTGTACATTCTTCTATGCGTTTTCTTGTTGTTAAGATTATACTGTATTTGCAATTCAGTATCATCCTTTTTTTAGCTTAACGTTTTATCGTAAACAATTTGCTATATCCTAACGGTTTAAGCTCTCAGGCTGAATGCCTGTGTTCAAATACCGCTTTAACTATTCACTATGTAAATAGCCTTAGACAAGATACTTAACATCTCTGTATCTCTGTTTTCCCCATCTATAAAAGGAGGATGCTAATAGACTTACCTTGTAGGGTGGTCATGAGGATTAAATATATTAATAACTATAAAATACTTGGAAAAATGCTTACATGTAAATGCTTAATAGAAAGTTACTTATTTTAAGAGTATTAGTTTTGTTTTTGCTAAAACTCTCCTGAAACTTTATTTTTAATGGATGTACCATGATATATTTTTACTTTTACAAATAATATTTTAGTAGACATTTAAGTAAATCCTTGCCTGCATTTCATATTATAGCCTCTGGACTAAGTCCTAAAAGTAAAATTAATGTGTCAATGGGTATGACTGGTTTAAAATAATTTTTACCAACAAATTGCTTTCCTGAAATTTTCAGTTGCACTGTCTATGAGAATGGCTATTCATTTGCCCCACCTCTTATCAGCGCTGGCCATCACCTTTAAATCTTTGTTAGTTTGATAGACAAAATGGATTTATGGGAGGTTTTTTTCTTTAATTACTAACTAGGTTAAGAATGCATTATTAACTGTTTATATGTCCATTTTCGTGAGTTGTCTGTTCTTTCCAGACTAAAGTTTCTGCCCATAGCTTGTCTAAGTGGAGGTGCTTATTTTTAAAGGAAGACAAAATGAAAAATACGCTGTACTACTGTTGTGTGCTTGTCTCGTCCTTGCCCAGGAAGCTGTATAAGCGTTATGCTTTTCTACGTTGTGAAGAAGAAAGGGAGCAGTTTCTTTACCATCTTCTTTCCCTCAATGCTGTGGACTATTTCTGCTTCACCAGTGTGTTCACCACTATCAGTAAGTCTGGAGAAATGACTAAGTGATGAGTTGCTCAGGTGACTAATGGAACAAGAGTGTCTATGTTTTAAAGTGAGACGTACCAGAGTACAGTGCTAGACGCTGTGAGGCGCCCCGCAGGTCTCCCTTTAGGAATGAAGGTTGTGTCCTAGCCGCTGGGAGTCCTGCCGCCCGACAGCCCTCAGCTGTCAGCTCCTGTGGGGAGTGCTCACCAAAGAAAGCTGCCTTCCCAGAGCTCATTCCTCCTACAGGGCCCGCCAGCAGCCTATGACTGATCAGTGGGCTGTCCCAGAACCCATCAGGGGACTAGCTGAGGACTTCCTTGTGACTGCCTCACAGCTCAATTCCCGTAGCCAATCCTGCTTTCTTCCTCACGTGTTGATCCCAGAAGCAACACGCTGCATGCTAATTTCTGACTCAGAGTCTGCTTCCCAGGAAACCCAGTCTACAACAGGAAATGGAATGGATGTGAAAAGGAATGTTTTACTACACAAATATTCCAATATCTTGTCCTAAACACATAAATTCAAAGCACCTGTACAGGACAGTAATAGATAACTGAGCATCACTAAACTTTGATGATTCAGAAAGACTTCAGGATCTTGCTGGATGTTGTAGGCCTGTAGAGGGAGGAAATGCTGACTACAGATGTGGTTTCGATGAGCGGAATTGTAGCATTTATTCTGTTCACCATTGCTAATTCTTATTTGCAGTGGGTCCCTTCCCTACTTTGGGGAATTTTTGCTTGTATCGGTTTGGAGTTCTGTTCAGCTACGAGTATCAGAAACTTGGAAAACAGTTTAAACAAATTGGTAGTTTTCCTTTTCTTACATAACAAGAAGTCTCATGGTCAGCAGGCTGAAGTGCTGTCGTGGACCCAGGCTCTGTGCCTCTCCTCCTAGACAATCCTCAGTACGTGCTAACCAACCTCGTGGTCACAAGATGGCTCTTCTCAGTCCACCTTTCAACAGGAAGAAGGAAGGAATGCTGGGGAAGAAGGGTCCGAATCTGTGCTACGGAAACATAATTTTCCAAGAAATCCCACTAAATAGCACTCACATTTCATTGGCCAGAATTGTGTAGGTTTTGGCTTTTCTAGTCTCTGGTAGAGGCAAACAAGGGAAAATGGAGTTGGAATGGCTGTTGGGCCAACGTGTGATATCTGTCAAGCTGCTATTAGTTTATTAGGTTACTGCAGATATAAGAAGCTAAGATGTTATGAACAGTTTTGAAAGAGAAGAAATAGCAGCAGAGGCAGCTACGGCTCCTAAGGTCCCCCTGTGTCTGCAGAGTCCTCTTCATCTGAGTAACGCTTTCAGTTTGAGGAATCGAGATACTCCATGAAAGAAATATTCTGAGTCTAATAGTATTACTGTTTCTGTACTTTATGAAATTACCATCCTGCATCTGTGGGCCCTTTGCAGCCACAGAACTGCTGGCCCTAAACCGGCCTTTTTCTGCAGCCTTTCTAATCCTGTCAGTGAAAGAAATGAGAGAAGCCGCTGGCACCTAAAATAGCGTCTTGCGCTAACCTCTTCTGCTTTCAGTTTCAGAAACCATTTGATTCTGGTGATTACTCCACCATGAAAGTATGGCCTTTCCTCTGACATTTTCCTTTCCTTCAGCCAAAATAAAAAGACAGAAAGGGAGGTTATTCACCCAACATTAAAGAAAGTCATTTATGTGAAATTGGGGAAATGAACCATTTATCCCATTCATTTTCCTCAGCTGAACCACGAGCTCATAATGTGAGGCTGTCTGGGCCCCTTGGCCAGTAAATGCGCTTCATCCTACGTGTAGTTTCTTCAGGGAGGGCTTCTTGTACCTGCCCCCCCCCACCCCCCATGAATGAATGAATGAACAGAAATCCCAAGAATGCCGACAAAAAAGATTGATTCTACTCTGCTTTAAAAAAAAAAAATGTATGGCTCTGCAGGGTAAAATGTGCTGATGTGTTTGAGCCATCCCCATTTTTTAAAGGAAAATGGAGGGAGTGTGTAGTGTCTAACTTTAGATGTTTCTACATTTGGGCAAAAGACAGTGATAGGACAGTGACATCTAGTGGTGTGCCTTCGAAGCGCCTTCGGCAGGAAAAGGTTTCACACAGATCTCTTTCCCTGTCTCGGTTCTTTCCCTGGGGCTCCTCTTGCACATGAGTCACCTTCATTGCTTTCCAAGTTGTGGTTTATAGACTTTATGTTCTGTCCAGAATGGAAGTGCCATTGTTTGTTGTTCTTGGCTTGCGTATTGAGCTGTAAAATCAGGATGGGAAAGTTTTGAAGTGCAGTGCTTGAAAGCATCGCCCAAGAAAATCAGCAACAGGGGGATGCTATCCAAGAAGTCATCCTCCCCCTTTTTCTTAGGAAACCATACCAGGAACCATGCTCATTTGTACTCGATTTTGGAACGAGATTAAATAAAAACGTTAAAGCAATGAAAATACCATACAGCACAGTCAATGTTCATGTCCTCAGGTATTCTGGTGCTAACGCCTGGGACTGTTTATAAATGCAGTGGTGATATATGCCATGAAACCACCACAGGTATTAGGACTTATGGCTTATAAACTGGACCTCGTCTTTCTCAGCTGGGAGACATTATGATCTCATCTTTTTGTTTAAGTACTTCTTGATAGATCATAAAAAGCAAATTATCTGTGAAAGTCAACAGAGTTCTTAGTATATGTTTGTTTTGTTTTCGGGAGAATTTTATTGTAATTTCTAATTAATGTCGGCATTTCTCTGTCAGTGATTCCCTATAGGTCAGTGATCATCCCCATCAAAAAGCTGAGCAATGCCATCACCACCTCGAACCCTTGGATCTGCGTGTCGGGCGAGCTGGGAGACACGGGAGTAATGCAGATTCCCAAAAATCTCCTCGAAATGACTTTTGAGGTAGGTCCAGCTGATGGCTTTCTTAGCAGAAAGTGTCATACATAGTTCCACACGAGGATTCCAGCTTCACTTTCCCATTTTCCCTTGACTCAAATCATATAAAGGAATACTCAAGCATGCAGAATCATTTTTGTGATTATATACCTAAAGTTTTCTGAAACGCTTACGCTAGTTTGTTTTCTATTTTAATTGTTAAGCTCTGTTCTTCTGCTTATAATAGTGCACTTTTCAACTTTGCCAGGTCCTACCCCATGACTCCCAGCGCCTAGCCCAGAACCCGGCGGGTAGGGAACTTTCAAGTAAATGCCTTCCCCACAGTCGTTCTCTTCCTTATTGTAAAATGCTCCCTGCCTGAATCTGGCCAAAAGGACAGGACAGCTGACAGCCATGCTTATGGCTTTTAGACCACAAAGTGACATTTATAAAGTGATTTTGTAAAAATACCTTCCAATCTGTAGCCAGTTTTCAGGTCTAACCGGTGAAGTATTCCCGTATGTTTGAGCCCATGGGCAGGTTGATCCCGGCCTGCAGGAAGAAGACGGATACCCGCTTCTGTTTCAGAAGAGAAGCGCTACCAACTGAGTGTCCTGCTCTCATGTTCCTTCGGGTCTAGGGACAGAACATTCCACTCAGAGTCTTAACACCCCCCAAGAGCCCATTTTGGCGCAGTCTGTCCAGTGGATTCACAGCCATCTGTGTATAAAAGATTAAAACCCTTGCCTTTTCTTTGACTACCAAGTATAGAATATAAATTGCATGATAAGTCCCATCACTACTGTTTCCAAACTCTCTCACATCTGCCTACTTCGTTCCATCTCTGCTGCCCCAGCTATTCAAGATGCCACCTTCCCTCACCTGCACCACTCTGATGCCCTCTCACTGTGCTGCAGAGAAGTCAGGGCTTTCAGAACTCAGAGCTCTGATGTCCCCAAGCACACATAGTCGGTTGGGATCTGTGATCTTTTATCAGAATTTAAAAGTCAGAATTTAATTGACATTTATTTTTACTATTCCTATTATCATTGCTTCTTTGTACTTGTCCCCAAAGAGCCAGGAAGGACGTTGATAACTATGTTTTTTTTTTTTCTTACAATAGCTTCAAAGACTCCTAATAGGTGAGATTTGAGGTCAGTTCTGCCTTAGTATTTTGTTAGAAACAGAAAAATAGTTGTGTCAGTGATTTTTTATATCTATAGTTGTTTTTCTGACCTCTCTGTAACTGAATCTAAATAATATCCTTTTCCCACTTCCTGAAATAATTCTCAGCCCTCAAGGCACAGATCACTGTCTCTGTGTTGTTTCTGGGGCCCAGTTAGAAATATTCGTTCCTTCCGCGTGTTCTTCTGGCTCTTGTTTCCGTCTCTGGTCTAGGACCTTGTCCAGGCCCCCTCATTTGATAGTTAATGTCCGTATGTCTCCTGTCGCAGTAGATGGGATATATCAGATGTGCCTATCTTTCTCTAGTGCATTGCGGAACACATTGTGGGCTGGGTCCTCTGCAGTCGTTAAACTAGATGGAACCAAAGTGCCACTGCTAAAGCTGAGAGGTAGCTGGATGGGACCAGGTGCTGAGTAACCTTTTGTCCTGTGCCTACAGTGCCAGAACCTGGGGAAGCTGACAACTGTTCAGATTGGTCACGATAACTCGGGACTGTTAGCCAAATGGCTAGTGGATTGTGTCATGGTCAGAAATGAAATCACAGGACATACATACAGGTAAGTAAATGTCCTTGGGAGTTCAGAATCTTTTGTTGAGACTCTTAAGAAAAGGTTTAAGAATTGTTTTCTTTCTAAAGCTTTCCCACTGCCTTCTGAATTTTAGTTTCGTTATTTGAGTTGTTTTGTTTTTGTTTATGTACTACAAAATTTTATTTTATTACAAAATTGCCCCAAAAAATACTTTAAAAAAAACTGATTGTGTTTGCTGCTAATGCTTAGTCCGCAAATGTTGAGAAAGATTGGTGTAAAAATCTTAAAATAATTTCAATAAGAGGAAAGGATCTTTCGGGCTCTATTAGGTACAGCCGTTAGCCCACTTTGCGAACATTCTCCTCTAACTTAACTCCCACATTAGTTTCTAGCTTGAAAATATTTTTGTCAAAACTAACCACAGAATTTTAATATAGACTAAGTATGAGAAAATATTAAAGAATTATTTTAATTTGGCTGAGTGTGATAATTTATGGCTATATAAGAGACAGCATCTTTCTTTTTCAAAGATTCACTGTGAGGGGTTTTTAGGAGTAAAATGTCCTGATGTGTGTAACTTACTTTAAATACTTCAACAGAAAATGAAAATGAAGCATGTGGCAAAGTGTTATGTCTAGGTGATGAGAATGTGGACATCTATTATACTATTCTACTTTTCTGTACATTTGAATGTTTGTTTTTTTTTTAAAGATTTTAGTTTTTTCCTTTTTCTCCGCAAAGCCCCCCCCCCGGTACATAGTTGTATATTCTTCGTTGTGGGTCCTTTCAGTTGTGGCATGTGGGACGCTGCCTCAGCGTGGTTTGATGAGCAGTGCCATGTCCACGCCCAGGATTCAAACCAATGAAACACTGGGCCGCCTGCAGCAGAGCGCGCGCTAACTTAACCACTTGGCCATGGGGCCAGCCCCTTGAATTTTTTTTTCTAAAGATTTTTTTATTTTTCCTTTTTCTCCCCAAAGCCCCCCGGTATGTAGTTGTATATTTTTAGTTGTGGGCCCTTCTAGTTGTGGCATGTGGGACACCGCCTCAGCATGGCTTGATGAGCGGTGCCATGTCTGTGCCCAGGATCCAAACCAGTGAAACCCTGGGCCACCAAAGCAGAGCGCGAGAACCTAACCACTCAGCCACGGGGCCAGCCCTCATTTGAAATTTTTCATCATTAAAAAAACAATTCCACAAACAGTAAATGTTGGGCTTCAGCCATGGTGCCATTTTAAAAATTCTGGTTAAAGCTAGTAAACTATTAGTGATTCAGAAGTTTCTTTCTGTCCTACCAGGTTCCCATGTGGGCGGTGGCTGGGGAAAGGCATTGACGATGGAAGCCTGGAGAGAATTCTCATAGGAGAATTGATGACATCAGCGGCAGACGAGGATCTGGTGAAGCAGTGTCGGACTCCACCCCAGCAGAAGTCTCCCACCACAGCTAGGAGACTCAGCATCACTTCACTGACAGGAAAAAATGCCAGTAAGTAGTTGACTTTTTATTTTTCACTGTGTCTCAAATGGTGCAGGCATCATGTGGCAACTTCACAGAAAACTGTTGCATTAAGGAACCATGGTAAGGAGATTAAAAAGAAGAAAGCTGAGGAAAATTAATTTGGGAGAAGGGACTTTAAAAGGGGGGAGAGGATAAAGGGGGAAAAAATAAGGTTAGACATTAACAAGTAATTAAAAGCCAGAAGAATTTAGATGTTAAAATCCAATAAAAACTGTATGCTCTGTTTTAATTAAGCCGTGGAAGTATGAGTAAATAATATTTTACCTGAAGGAGGAATAAGGACTTTTATATATTACCATACTCCTGGATAGCCACATCTAGCGATCCAGGGGCCCTTATTCTAAGAGGAATTCTAAAAATTCCTCTCCCCACCTCCCAACTTCCTACAGAAGTGATAAAACAAAATGCTATAAAGGAGTGAGTTCTCTGGATCGGATGCTGTGTTCACGTGCCATTTTTAAGAGCATAATCAACTTTTAATTTATACTAATGTGGGCATCAGTAGGCTGAATAATGTGTCCCAAGGATATCAGATCCTAATCCCTAGAGTCTATAAATGTTACTTTATTTGGAAAAAGGCTATTTGCAAATAAATGTGATTAAGTTAAGGATCTTGAGATGGAGAGAGCATCCTGGATTATCCAGGTGGGCCCTAAACGCACTCACATGTGTTCTTCTAAGAGGGAGATTAGACACACAGGGGAGAAGGCAATGTAAAGGTGGAAGAAGGCAGAAGTTGGAGTGATGCGGCCGCCGGAAGCTTGAAAAGGCCAGGAGCAGATCCTTGCAGAAAGCCTCCAGGAGGAGCGCGGCCCTGCCGACACGCTTTCTGCCCTGTGATACTGATTCCTGACTTCTGGCTTCCAGAACTATGAGAGAATAAATTTCTGTTGTTTCAAGTCACCACGTCTGTGGTCCTTTACTAGTGGAGTCACAGAAAACTGATACAGAGGCAGTATGACTTAGTGAAAAATGACAGAAGTTTCTCAGTGAAGTGATTGCATTTCAACTATGGACAGTAAGCACGAGTAGAATAACCAATGTACCTAAGAGGTCCCTAGTTTGCCAACAAAACAGTTTCCTTAGATATTGTTAGTCCCTCTCTGTTTGGTAGCACGTCTTGATAGATTAACGACTAGAATGGTATAGTCTAAAATGCCCCTTTCTCAAATTATTCCCCTGATTCATAATTCCTTTCTGCCCTCAGAAGGAAACTTCACACCACACAGTCACTAGAATAGCTAAAATTAAAAAGACTGATAATACCAAATATTGGTGAGGATGGAGAGCAGTGGAATGCTCATACATTGCTAGTGAGAATGCAAAAGGGGAAAGTTCTGCAGTTTCTTATAAAGATACCCATATACTTACCTACACTTGACCCAGCAGTCCCACTCAGGGATATTGACCCAAGAGAAGTGAGCACGTATGTCTACACTGAGACCTGTACTCAGATGTCCGCAGAAGCTTTATTCACAACAGCCGAAATGGAAGCAACCCCAGTGTCCAGCAGCTGGTGAATGGATGAGCAGAATGTGGTGTATCTGTTCACTGGGATACTATGCAGCAATATATAAAAATGGACACACTATTGATACACCTAACAACGTAGAAGAATCTCAAAAAGCATTATGCTAAATGAAAGAAACCAGACACAAAGGACTAGATACTGTATGATTCCATTGACAGTACATTCGGTGATAATGACAGAAAGCAGATAAGCTGTTGCCAGGGGTTGAGGGCTGGGAAGGGGACTGACTCTAAAGGGGTCCAGGGGAACCTTTTGGGTTGATGGAAATTTTCTATATTATGACTGTGGTGGTGGTTACATGACTACAGATCGATCAAAGCTCATCAAATTGCACACTTCAAATTGGTAAATGTGTTGTATGTAATACCTTAATTATGCTGATTTAAAATTAAAAAGTAGATTTCAGCTCAGTCCATCCAAATTATTACAACTTCTGAATCAGTCCAGTTTCATGGGGTGTTGCTGTTTTGAGAGGCCTTGTCCTCCACTTTTGGTCATACTTTCTTTCCTTACTCAATAAGCAGGGAATTTTAAGTAAGCTTAAACTCAGAGACGGGTAACTTGGTATTTTTCTCACAGAGTGTGAAAGGTGATAGAGAACTAGAAGTTTTAAATCAGTTTCAAAATACTACTGATCAGTACAGGGTTCTTTTGGAATGAATAAAGCTTTCAAAGTGGATCCTCGTGTTTCAAAGAGAAAATAGGGGCCGGCCCCATGGCCGAGTGGTTAAGTTCACGTGCTCCGCTTCAGCGGCCCAGGGTTTCGCTGGTTCGGATCCTGGGCACAGACATGGCACCGCTCGTCAGGCCACGCTGAGGCAGCATCCCACATGCCACAACTAGAAGGACCCACAACTAAAATATACAACTATGTACTGGGGGAATTTGGGGAGAAAAAGCAGCGAAAAAACAAAAAAGAAAATTGGCAACAGTTGTTAGCTCAGGTGCCAATCTTTAAAAAAAATACAAGAGAAAATATTGCGAGAAAGGTAAAAGTGAAAAATTACTAGGAGTTGAAAAGGCCACTGTATCATTCCTTCAATCATAAGAGGTTTCCATTTTAATGATTTTTAGGCATTGGTGTAGAAAAAAACTTACTTGAGTTTTACCTGAAGAATGTTTTATGCAAGAAATCCTCCAACAGTGTGAATTCAGAGATTCTTAAACACTGGAATGTATAGTTTGTCCTTCATAATGTGATACGTAAATTAGATTTAATAGTTAATCACCACTAGCAAATATCAAATATTTAATTTTTCTCTTGTTACCTACCTCTGCCCCGGGAAGAAACCTGTTTACCACCTTTTTGGGGTTTTTTTTTTCACCATTCTTGGGGTTTGAGAGGCAAAGGCAGTCTAGGCAAAGGCCCATTCGAGCCGCCCACCAAGCTGTCCCTCAGGAACAGGACCTGGATGAGCAAGTGCTGGCTGGGAGAATGAAACAGCGCCCAGACAGACTGACTAGCCAGAAAGGATAGCAGTTCTGGGCTTCGGGCAGGGTGCCCCACTGTACCTACATCTTCCCATTAATTTAAACACAACAGCAAAAACACAGACTCCAGGCTAGCCCTTCAGAGCTTCAGGAACCTTCATCTGTGCCCACTGAGGGACTCAGAGGCAGGTGGGATAAGTGCTACCTGCGGAAGGATGCTGTGGGTCTTCCCACCTCACTCTGCAGATCTTGGAACTTGCTAGCACTTTGTGACGGCACCATGCCAGGTGATATGCACCTAATGTCTCATTCACTTTTCCCAGTGACCCGTGAGGTGTGTATTTTCCCTATTTTAGGCTGAGAAATCTCAAACTCAGAGGAAGTTAGACATTTGACCAAGGTTATAGATTGCAAGTGGTAAGGCTGGGATTTGAATCCAGGGGGTCTCTTGGACTCTTTTCCATTGTGTCAAGATGCCTCCCACTTGGCCAAACGGGCCCGAGGCAAGTTTAATGGAACCCTGACATGCCAGGCTGCTCTGGCGAAGTGTTTCCTGCACAGGTGTACACAGTTGATGTCCCATCGTACTTTGGTTTATTTCCCTTGCATGAGAATTCAGACTTTGTTTATTATTTTTCAGAACCCAATGCTGGACAGATCCAAGAAGGAATTGGAGAAGCTGTGAACAATATCGTGAAACATTTTCACAAGCCAGAAAAAGAGGTATAATGGGTTATAAAACTTACTACAGTCGGATTTTAAAGCCACTTTTTTACATGATACATAAGGCAATAGAGGGTGCTTTAATTTTCATTTGTGAGTTCTCCAATAGCTGCAAAAACGTGCTTCATAGCGACCCTCAGCACGTGTTTCTCTAGTGTTTTTCTTAAACGTAGACGCAGCAGATTATTCTTTGGCGCTGTGTGTTGTGCTCCACAGAGAGGAAGCCTCACCCTGCTGCTGTGCGGGGAAAATGGCCTGGTTGCAGCCCTTGAACAAGTCTTCCACCACGGGTTCAAATCTGCCCGCATCTTTCACAAGAACGTCTTCATCTGGGACTTCATAGGTAAATTAAAGTGGATGTATGTTATCATAAGGGCATTGAAATATTTCTTGGAAAACTGAAAGACCCAGGAATTTGAGTGAATAAGAGTTAGTGACAACAGTGTGTTTTTAAAAATAAATATCAAATAAGCACTATCCTTGCTTTTCATTCAATCAACAAATATTTACAGTGTCCACAATACTCCAAACACTGTTCTAGATGCTCAAGATATAATCAGGGTATAAGTAAATAGGGCCAGCCCCGTGGCCGAGTGGTTAAGTTCACGTGCTCTGCTTCGGTAGCCCAGGGTTTCGCTGGTTTGGATCCTGGGTATGGACATGGCACCACTCTTCAGGTCACAGTGAGGCGGCATCCCACATGCCACAACTAGAAGGACCCACAACTAAAATAGACAACTATGTACTGGGGGGCTTTGGGGAGAAAAAGCAGAAAAGAAAAGAATAAATAAATAAAAAGAAGATTGGCAACAGTTGTTAGCTCAGGTGCCAATCTTTAAAAAAAAAAAAAAAAGATGTAAGTAAACAAAACAGAAAAATTGCTGTGGTGGGCAAACTTACATTCTGGTGGAGACAGAAGGACAAACAATATACAAAAACTTAAGAAATATGCAATTCATCTAGTATATCAGAAGGTGATCATTGATCTGGAAGAGCAGAGAGCAAGGTCAAAGGAAACAGTGGGGAGTACTCTAGATAGGGCGTGGTGTAGGCTTTGTTGACAAGGTGCCATTTGAGCAGACGTTGAGGACGTGAGGAAGGGAGGCATGTGAATACCTGGGAGAAGGGCAGTCGGGCTGAGAGAACTCCAGGGCGGAGCCCCTAAGCTGGGAGTGTGCTTGGCTTTTCCTAGAAGAGCAGGAGATCAGTGTGACTGGGGCAGAGTGAGGGAGAGAGAGAGGAGGATACTGCGGGAGAGGGATGTTTACTGCCAGAGCTAGCCAGGTTGTGCGGGGCCTTCTGGACCATTGGAAGGCTTGGAGCTAAGGAGCGACATGATATAACTTATGTTTTAAAAAGATTACTCTAGCTCCCTGCTGTCCAATATGGTAACCACTAGCCACTTGTGGCTATTTAAATTTGAATTGACTTAATTTAAATTAAATTTAGAATTCACTTCCTTAGTCACACCAGCCCTGCTAGTGGCTACTGAATTAGACCCTGCAGACATAGAACGTTGCCGTCATCACAGAAAGTTCTGTGGGAGTGTGCTGCTCTAGCTTGCTAAGGTTTGTAATCTTTATTTTGGTATGCAGTTCTTCTAGAATTCCAAGTTTCTTTAAAGGGATGATAAATCATTTTGTGTTATGTAAATAAGGCCTAGATGAAGTAGTTGATTTCATCCAACTTAGAATTTTTAGACAAAGAAAGAAAAATTGACAGAGCTGGGCCCCCAGGAGTGCTTTTAAGAAAAATCTTTTGGAATGCCTAGAATCTTACTGCTCCTGCTTCTGATTTGTGTACACATCTCTTCCTCAGATTTACTGAATCAGTTCCATTTCAAAGATTTTGTTGCAGTGTCAGCCAGCCAGTCAATAACTAGGACAGAGGGTACCATCTCCATGGCTACTATGTCTTTGCTACTTACTTCTAAAAGGTTCCAGTCTTAGAAGTCCATTTTTATTTATTTATTTTGCCAATTTCCATTTCTTTTTGTTGTTATTGTTAAGATTTTATTTTTCCTTTTTCTCCCCAAAGCCCCCCAGTACATAGTTGTGCATTTTTTTTTAGTTGTGGGTCTTTCTAGTTGTGGCATGCGGGACGCCTCCTCAGCGTGGTTTGATGAGCAGCGCCATGTCTGTGCCCAGGATTCGAACTGGCGAAACCCTGGGCCACAGAAGCAGAGCGCATGAAGTTAACCACTCGGCCACGGGCCAGCCCCCAATTTCCATTTCTTGAAGGTATACAGAAGAGAGTAAACTTCCTAGCCATCGAGAATGCAGTCTAGATTAGAAAATAAACTCCTGGGAGCATATTGGTCCACCATGAAATATGGACCTCTACAATTCATTGTGAAACCAATGATAAAGTAATGATTTCGGTTTCAAGACTGGCTGTAATGCAAAGCATCATTAGTGTTTCTAGAATAAACTAAGTGGTTAATCTTTCTGTATATAAAATATTGATGTGTATTGTGATATGATTCTGACTTCCTTCTCCAGAGAGAGCGGTGGCTTATTTTGAAACCACTGACCAGATTCTAGACAGTGAAGATGATGTCCTTATTCAGAAATCATCCTGCAAAACCTTCTGCCACTATGTAAATGCTATTAATACCGCACCCAGGAACATTGGGAAGGACGGCAAATTCCAGATTTTCGTTTGCCTTGGAACACGGTATAAAGCCAGTTCTTGACTTTCCCTGTCTTTGTTATGTGTTGAACAAGAGTCCAGAGTTATATCAGATGATGCCCCTTCCAAAGCTCTCCCGTGGGTTTCTTTCATTCCAAGTTTTATTATGAAACTCCTGTGTATTGAGTGCTGGCTATGTGATGGGCACTATGCTGAGTACTTTACACACATTGTCCCATTTAATCCTCCTCTCATGTGATCACCACCGCTACATGAAGTAGCAACCAATATCCCCATCATGTAGATGAGAAAATAGAAAATAGATGAGGCACAGATGAGTTAACAGGCTTCCCCGAGGTGACACAGCTAGAAAGAGGCAGAGCCAAGATTCATACCCAGTCTTACTCCAGAGCCCAAGCTCTCAACCATTATGCTGTACTGGGCTCCAGAGGTAGGTAGATAGGTAATAGGTATATTGGTAAATGATGAGACACACAAACACATATACACATGTATATTTACTATGTGGCGCTTGTATAGTGTATATGCACACCATGTTGCTGTAAATTTAATAAGACTGTGGAATTCTAACTATATAAATAATTCTTGGTATGTAAAGTCTTCTCTTTAAGACTATTTCCTACCCCTGTATTTTTTGGAAAGTGACACCTAGGAGCTGTACAATCCATTAATTCTAAAACAGCTCTCAGAAACTTAAGAAATGAAACACACAGTCCTTTAGAAGATTTTTTTAAGTTGTCTGTGCAATATTTTGTTTCCTTCCACACCCTAGATCCCCAACGAGAGATTCGGGCTGGGCTGGTTATGGCTGCCCTTGTCATGAAAGGCACACTGCGGGGTGCTCAGTAAGGATGTCTTAGGTGCTCAGTGACAGATATCTGCTGTCAGAGTTGAATCAGGAAACCCTGAAGACTGAGATTTTGTCCTTCCTTCTGGAACAGCTGGTTTAAGAACTAAGTTCTGTATTTCTTCTTAATAAAAGGGGCCCAATTTCAGCTGTGCTTTTAAAGTTCCTTTTGAACATGATTCTTATCTCCTTTTATCTCTTTACTGTTCTGATTTATTAGGCCAGTGCAACCCCTCTTTTGGTTATAAAATCTACTTAATGTTTTGCTTTGATTTTGTTCCTTACCTTGTTATGTTGTATAAGTTTTTAAAAAAATGTTAATCCCTACTATTTAATGTAGTCTTTCTTCCCAGAAGGTCAGTATACTTTGTCATGCCTTGCCGCAGATGTCTCAATGACACCCCTGTAAAAAAGAAATACAAAATCACATTCTGTCTCTTTCTAAAAGTGGTAAAATCAGAATAGAGAATTTCTTTAATGTGCATAAATCCTCATGGCCACTTTGTCCAGACCTACTTTTAGGATCTGATGAGTTTCCCATTAGCTTACACTCTCTCATTACTGTACCTTTTGAACCCGTAAATATCCAGCTTCCTTCCTTTGGTTTCGTCTCTGCTGACCTCAGAGCTTGGCTGGATTTTGCCCCATCCAGCCTCACACCTTCCTGCTGACGCCGCGTGTGCGCATGGTTGGGCAGCGAAGTGAGCAATGCTCAGCCCCTGTTTCTGTTTGGGTCTGTAGGGATCGCCTGCTCCCACAGTGGATCCCATTGTTAGCTGAGTGTCCCGCCATCACGCGAATGTACGAGGAGAGCGCCCTCCTGCGAGACCGCATGACCGTCAACTCGCTCATCCGCATCCTGCAGGCCATCCAGGACTTCACCATAGTCCTAGAAGGATCGCTCATCAAAGGAGTGGACGTGTAACCCAATGGCTAGAAACTCTCAGTCCAGGCCCCTTGCTCCTGAACCGTCCCCAACTCCGGGCACCAATTTGGACTTGTCTGAAGAGGTCGTGAGCCACTGCGGGGGGCAGCGCACCGTACCCCCCCCCAACTGAACAATCCTCACGCTACAGACAAGGAAAATGCTGTATTGTAGTTCATTTGAACCAGGAATTTAGTATAAAATAGAGTATTTTCATGTGTTAGATGTGTGTAAATATGCTATCTTCTTTAAGAAATTATATTACTCTAATACAATACTTTTCTTAGATTGAATATTCCTGTGACTTAAACTAAGTAGCTTGAAAGCACTGGGAGTTGGCGGGGAAGAGTGGTGCTAGTCAGGAAGAAGCCAGTAGACGTGTAAATAGAGTGCAAGCCGGTCGGGCTTTTGTTTCCTCCAGGTACCAGGAGGAACCCAGAATGCATTGTTCTGTCGTGTCCATCCATCCTTCCATCCTGGTGTCTGATCCTTTGTATTGTGAATGTAAACAGCTTTACCTACTGTATGAGATAGTCCTCACTGTACCTTTTCAGTTACAAATGGTTTCATACATTTGAATTGAGTCACTTTTCCAGTCTTTGGAAAATTTTTTTCTGTCGGCACAAGATGAAGATATAATTCAAATATTTTAAATACTGGACCCCAGGAGCTTGGCTGAGCTGGAAAGAGAACACACAAAGCCCTGAGAAGTGCGTTAAATTGTGGGATTATAACTTCTTTACACTTTGGAAAGATTAGCCTAGACTAACTTCATTCTTGGCATTTTTATTGTTATTTGAGGTACTTTGGGGAGATGTGAATTTCAAAGAGTTGGCCTCCTGGTCGTAAGAAGTGCGGACAGCAGCTTGATTCCGTACTTTTCACTTGTTCATCTGAACCCTGCGCAGTCCCTCACCTCTTAAGGATAACCACAAGCCCCGTCTTTGTTAGGTTCCAGTCAGCCCTCCCCTCGCCCCGGGCCCATCCCCCTCTCAGGAAATGGAAGGAATGTCTAAGAAGGAGGAGGGCTCTGTGTGGCTTGGAATGTTTTTGTGAAAGTATTTGTTGACCATGATAATGCAAATAACAGAAGGGGAGAGAAAGAATGAACCCTTTCTGGGTGGTTCGGGGCAAGCTTTCTGTTCCTTTGTAAGAGGGGGTAATAATGTAAAACAAGGGGCCCCGAGAAGGTAAAAGCCAGTACAGCACAGGCTGGGAAAATGGAAGCAAAACAAGAGGCGACAGTCTTGAAAGACCAAATGTGGCGAGTGACTTTCCAGCTTGGTGTTTTATAAGGAAGTTGAATAAATGTGGTGTCGGCTTGTTCCTGCAAGTCTTCACCCTCCCGTGGGCCCTGTGACTCTAATTAGGCATTTGCACTTTGCTAGCAGCGAAATTGCCTCAGCAGTGCTAGGCTTGTTCCCCGTTGTGGCTGAGAAGCAAAGCCCGGCCTCTCAGGCCCCTTGTACAAGCCGGGGCTCCTGGGCTTTAGCAGTGGTGTCATTGCCCTTATTTCCTGGAGGAAGAACCCGATGGAACCAGTGCCTCCCTCCCTGCATTGATCACAGTATTCAGCCGGGCCACCCAGGTGCACCCCCTGTCCACAGGTGACTAAGTACTTGGGGAGGAAAGGAGGAGGCGAAGGCAGCACTGAGAAGCCCATGCAAGGTTTAAGAAGACAGTTCTGGGTGACCTGGGTAGGCCAGATATCGGTCTGCTGAGGGTAAAGTGTGTCCACAGTGGCTGTTCCAGGGACATGGAAACTCCCTTAGGTGTTTCAGTGATCAGCAAGCGCAGAATGAGCCAATCCAGGGTTTGTTCTTATTACCTGTTCCATAAGGCCACTGTGGACAACCAGAGGGATGACTTGGACAGCATACTAGAGGCGAGTCATCTAGTCCAGCCTTCTCATTTTATAGCTGGGAACGCTTGAGGATCAGAGAGATGAAACACTTACCCCTGCAGCTGGTCAGTGACAACACAGGGTCAAGAACTCGTGTTTGTTATTACACTGGGCTGCGTGAAACGGACCTCCAAGGCATTCATATTGCTAGTTTCTCCACCCTGGGATCTTTATTCATCCACCTATACAGGTAGGAAATAAGGATTAATATTCATTTATAATAATCATTTATGAGGATTAATATTCATTTTAACAAATTGTTCTCAAGAATGATACCAGAACTGACACATCCTCTAGAATGCCGGGCCCTTTAAACGAGTCGCCTTGGGAGCCCATGTCATTATTCCAGAGATGCAGCCAGTGCTCCTGACACATAGGGACCTTCCTGTAAGCTGTGTGAGTGGCCTACAGCCCATCCTTTTGAATATTACCAGTGATAGTAAATCTTGGCCTTTCAGAAGAAATTTAATATTTGGAAACAACAAAAAGTCCTTAGGATCCAAATTGGTGAACAAAAAGGGTGCTTAAGCAGAGCTTGGGGTCGTAAAAGAAACACAGTTCTAAAGAAATAAGACTTAGTTCTTATGTGGCTGTTATAAACTTGAGAGACAGCTCTGTGTCTTTGAGCCAATACCAAAATATTTTGAGCAGGACAGTAGCAGACTCTTCAGAATAAATGCGCAGTAGCCTTCCAAGCTACTTTTAGAAAGACCTCACCCATAGACTTAGCCTTTCTATTATGTTAATTTTTAAAATTAGTATATTGCTTTATAAGCACCTCAAAGTTAAAGTAATAAAAATCGATTTTGTAATTGACTGTTTTCCTCAAAATAAGTTAAAAGTAATGCCTGGAACCATAATTAGTATTTTCACATAATAATAATAGATTGAGAAGAATTTTTTTAATTAAATTGCCAAAAATATTACCTGTTGAAACATTTATTTTCCAAGTGTTTTCAAATGTCCTGAAACTCCTCATCTCAACTTTGTGACACAGTAGCATTAGACCGATGTTGGTATTATGTATAAGACCCTCATATGTATAATGACCCTGGTTGGGACTCATGAGCACCTTAAAATGACTGAGGCTCAGTGTGGGGTGGTATAGAGTAGGTAGGGTCCTGCGTGGGAAAAAACAGGCTACTGAGAACAAAAGTAAGGCCTCCCAACCCTTCCCATCCTCTTTTCCACTGAGGAGCGAGAATTTGATATAAGAAAGCTAAAACTTGCAAAAGTTTGCAATTTCCCTCTATAATTTATTTCAAGTGTTTCACACATTTTTATACCTTTTGTAACCCTGAGGTATTTACTTTAACATGGCTTTTTAAAAAATCATTTTAATGAACTTCTGTCATGTTATATGAATGATATAGGGGAAATACTGAATTGCTCATATTTCCTTTTTTTGGCAATAAAGCACTGTTGTATGTAAATGTGAGTGAAAGAGGAGTGGAGACCATACGTAACAGTTTGTAGAATATGTTGACGCCTCTAGCATATTCTGAAACATGAGGCAGCAGACGAGGACCTCAGATCCCCAGGGAAATATTTATTTGACAGCATTGGGAGTGTAGCTCTTAATAATGAAATATCTTCTTTATGCTAAGAACTATGATTTTTCAGTAGATTTCCATTTTAAGAACTGTATTTTCTCTGTGAGGTTTACAGAAACTAGTCTATTTCTTTTCACCATGTTGGAAAGGACAATCTGAACCTTCGCTCTTTTTGTTTCAGTATTAACGCACCTTCATGACTGAGAATGGAGTCTTGAGCTCTTCTCTACTCTTATAAACCGAGTCCTATTTCCAAGTCATTTCTGTCTTTTGAAGTCCCTGTTCCTTATGTAAGTATTTGTTACCTGACCATTTAGCATAAAAAGAAGACAGAAACAAATAATGAACTACTAGGTTCTATTCCTATTAAAATACATTTATAAATCTCTTGAATCAGACTGATTTCCAAGCTTTTTGAGGGGGGTGCTGATGGAGTGTGATCAGCAGAATCCCAGGAGAGCCTTGTCCTCCCAGATATTACTAGAGCTGATCGTCCTTTCAAGGACAAAATAAAGATGGGCTCCAGAAGGGTATCACGTTGAGCAATTAATGCCAGAGTGGGAAAAAAATCATCCCCAAAGTGCTCCTCGTTTGAAGGAATCCAGGGTATCCCTGGGTCACAGGGAAGGGAATTGTGCTTGATCTAGTCACCTGAATGTATTTGTGTGTGGCTCCAGGCTTTATTCCAAACACCAAATCTGGGGGAGAGTAGAGAGGTATGGTCAGGAGATCCTTTGTCAATCAAATGAGGGTGTGAAACATATAGAAAAAAATCCTCTATATTACACTTGAACCGTGTATAAATATACCCTGTATATCTTTTTTTAAATGAGCATTTCTCCATTTAAATTATATTGTTTTTCTTTGTATTGTTTAACAAAATGCATCAGAACTGGATTTTTTTTTTCTCATCTGAACATAATATAAAATTGAAAGACTATTGTGATATCAAGCACTTTAACATACATATCAGAGAAACTGACGTGGGTTTTTCAGGTTTTGGAGTACATATAAATATGACTTTTCATGCTTTGTTCTTACAAATAAAACTGTGGGGTTGATACTTTGTTTTGCTTCATTATTTTAGAATCTTAATACTGAATGGTTCAGAGGGCTGGTGACTTCAGGGAGAAGAGAGAAAACCAAAATCATTGTGCAGTTAAAATCCAGCCTGCTGGGCAACTGGGTATTCAGAAGGGGTAAAAAAAAAAAAAAGAAAGAAAGAAACTTGAACCCTACCTCACACCATATGAAAAAAATCAGTTCTTGGCTTAACCTAAATGTAGAAGAATCTAACAAAATTGTTAGAATATAGGATGTATTTATGAACTTGAGAAAGGGAAGTATTTCTTTAAACAAGACACTAAAAAATAACTAGCATTGTAGTCCATAGTAAAAATAGAAGGCAAAGATTTGTTGCTTACCCACTATATGTTAAGCATTGCCTTAAGTTATGGGCATACAGCACTTGAAACACACACACACATCAAATTCCTGCTCTCCTGGAATTTGTATTCTAATGGAGGAGTTACACAACAAACATGATAAGTAATACATATAGTAGTTAGATGATGATAATAAGCAAACAGGAGGGGTTGAAGGTTTGGTTGGGGCTGCTTGGAGATGGACTCCATTGTAAATGGTTCACCAGGGAAGGCCTCACTGAAGTGGGGTTGCCTCTAACTGAGATTGGAAAGGGTGTTGGAACAGTAAGTTTGCGGGAGGAACGTCAAGAGCTTATTTTTGGACGTGCATTGGAGTGCCTGTTAGACATCCACATAGAGGTGCTGAGAAGGCCGTTGCACTTGTGGATTGGGAGTCCAGGAGAGAACAATACTGTATTCATCAGAGTCCAATCAAGAGACAGAAATCACACAGCGATTTGAACAGGAGAAGTTTAATGTAAAGAACTACGTATTAGAGTTCTCCAGAGAAACAGAACCAATAGGATGTGTATGTACATACATAGAGAAAGACTTATTTTATGGAATTAGCTCACAAAATGGTGGAGGCTTGGTAAATCCAAAATCTACAGGGTAGGCTGGCAAGCTGGAGAGCCAGGGAAGAGTTACACAGTTCATGTCAAAAGGCAATCTACTGGCAGAATTCCTTCTGGCTCAGAGGAGGTCGGTCTTTGCTCTTTTAAGGCCTTCAATTGATTGAATGAGGCCCACCCACATTATGGAGGGCAGTCTGCTTCACTCTAAAGCCACCAATGTAAATACTAATCTCATCCGAAAAACACCTTCAGAGAAACATCCAGAATAATGTTTGACCAAAGATCTGGGCACCATGGCCCAGCCAAGTTGACACGTAAAGTTAACTGTCACAAACTATAACAAGAAATTGGAATAATGGAGGATTTGCTGCTAAGCAATAAAAGAAAAACTAAAAAATACAAGAATTGCATATATAGGGAGCAGCCAATAACCGTAGGACTGAGGCAAGGCAAACCTAAAAGAGCCCTCACCCCTCAGGCTGAGAGCCAGACTTTACTAAAAACAGCACAGCCTTGGCCCACCAGATGCCACACACCAGTGGCATGTGTTTGGAACCTGCTTTTGGGTTCCAGGGAAGTACCCGCGGGAGGTGCCATATCCCTGAACTTGCTGGGAAGCCCCTGGAGGGGGTGCAGGGAAGCTGTCCATGGAGAGGTGCTATACCAGTGAAACTCACTGCCGAGCCACTCAGGGGAGTGCCAGGTGGGGTTAGCTGCTGATCCCATAAAGCCAGGAGCTGCACACTGCAGGAACCTGCAGAGGGAGCACAGCAGAACCAGGGAGAGAAGCTCCCTCCTCCCTCGCCTCTCCAGTGAATTCAACTGACAAAAGTTAACATTGTGCCACCAGGCAAAGGAGAAATGTTTGTAAGAGAGTCTGTCTCCATTGTTGCAGAGCAGGCAATGAAGGGTAGAGCTGGAGCTGAGAGGCAATGAACTGATAACCGCCCCAGACAGTTTCGTTCCTTAATTCACTTAAGGAGGAATCAAAGGGGGAGAGGTGGGAAACGTGAGAAGAGAGAGCAAATGTCTCCAGACTTTATGAGGCAATGGTTTAGAGCAGATGTTGTCTGCCGTGTTCACTTGATCTTGGTCCAGATGGATACAATTTTCATCATGAGCCTTTAAAATACTGATTTTAATAAAAAATACTGACTAACAGCAGTTCCGAAGGTTAGGAGGCTTTGGCATCTAAGGGAAAGAAGACCACAGGGGAAGGAACGAAGGTGGTGAAAAATGTTGGGCACTGGCTTTATTTTGAAGCTAAAGCCAGAGAATTTCCTGATTGATTGAATGTGGGGGATGCATGAAAGAAGCATCGAGAATGTCTCCAAGGATTTTGATCTGAACAACTGGAAGGATGAAGCTAGAATTTCCATTAACTGCGATGAGTAAGGCTGTGGGGAGAACAGGCTTTGGAGATAGGAGTTCAGTTCTGAACACATTAAATTTCAAATATTGATGAGATATCCAAGTGGAAATGGTGAACAGGAAATTGAACGTCTGAGTCCAGATTTTGTGAGCAATTGGACTTCGGATATAAATTTGGGAGTTGCCAGCATATATAGATGGAATTTAATGTCATAAAACTGGATGAGAACACAAAGGAAGGGAGTTATTAATCTCCCAAAGCATTAATTTTAATTCCACAATATGGATGTGGCATGATTTATTGTTTGACTTTAGATGTCTCCCAATTTTTCAGTATTCTGAACAATGCTTTGATGAAAAACACCTAGATAGCTCCCAACGGTTCACTAGCCTGAGCAATACTATACTGAACACATCCTTGCTTTGTGCAAAATTACCATTTTTGTAGGTCAAAGGCAAATGTCAACAACTCCATAGACTCAACCTAATATTTTTGATAATTCTTTATCCTGACATGTGCTATACTTTGATTAAAATAGATAGTGTAACCGCGATAGAGCAATTAATCTCTGGGCTGCAAAGTTTACAAATGAATCACTTGAGTTAGAGCCCAGAAGTGAGCCAGATGATCCCTGTACTCCAGAATAACATAATCCCGAGGTCTGTCACTTACCTACCCATCACTTGTGTCCTTAAATGCCCCGAAACTTTTCCTGGGTTTCTCGCTTCATCCTATTCAAACATAACAGGTTCCCAATATATGAAACAAAAACTAACAGAATCAATGAGAAATAGACACTCCCATTTATAGTAGACAAGCACTCCTTTCTCAATAATTGATAGAGTAAATAGGAAATCGGTAGGGACATAGAGGACTTCTCAACACTGTCAACCAACTTGACGTAACTGATATTTATAGAATACTTTATCCAACAACAGCAGAGTACAAATTCCTTCTAAGTACACAAAGAGCATTTACCAAGATTGACCATATTTGGGGTCATAAAACAAGTCTCAATAAATTTTAAGATTCAAGTCATGCAAAGTATGTTCTTTGGCCACAGGGGTCAAAAAGTGAATCAAAAGGGAAAGCAGAAAGTATTTTGAACTGAATGAAAACAAAGCATATCCAACTTTGTAGGATTGATCTAAAGCAGCTCTTTAAAGAGAAATTAACAGTACTGAACAGCTATGTTAGGAAAAAAGTCTCAGATCAATGACCTGTGGTCCTACCTGAAGAAACTAAAAGAAAAAAAGAAAAGCAGAAAATAATAAAGATTAGATAAGAAATCAATGAAACAGAAAACAGAAAAAAAAAAGAAAATCAATGAAACCAGGTGATTCTTTGAGAAATCAATAAAATTGATAAACCTCTGGCCCGACTGATTAGAGAAAAAAGAAACAAGACACAAATTGCCAATATGAGGACTAAGAGAGGTGACATAAACACAGATAGTAAAACAATAATAAGGGGCTGGCCCGGTGGTGCAGCGGTTAAGTGCGCACGTTCCACTTAGGCGGCCCGGGGTTCGCCGGTTCAGATCCCGGGTGCAGACATGGCACCACTTGGCAAGCCATGCTGTGGTAGGCGTCCCACATATAAAGTAGAGGAAGATGGGCATGGATGTTAGCTCAGGGCCAGTCATCCTCAGCAAAAAGAGGAGGATTGACAGCAGTTAGCTCAGGGCTAATCATCCTCGGGGAAAAAGAAAAAGATAATAAGGGAATATTATGAACAAATTTTTTTTTAATTCTGGTAACATTGGTTTATAACAATATACAAATTTCAAGTGTACGTAATTATATTTTGATTCCTGTATAGATTACGCCATTACAACAACTTTTTGGTGATAAATTTTAACAACTCCAATGAAATAGATAAGTTTCTTAAAGACATCAAGTATCAAAGCTCACTTAAGAAAAAACAGATAACCTGAATAGCCTCTATCTATTTAAAAAAATTGAATTTGTTATTCAATTTGAATTGAATAGTTAAGGTCAACTATTCTCAGGAAGAAAACTCCAGGCCCAGATAACTTCACTGGTGAATCCTGTCAAAAATTTAAGGTAGAAATAATGAAAACTCTGCACAAACTCTTCCAGAAAACTGATGACGAAGTATGTGTTACTTTTGCTAGGGCTCCTGGAACAAAGCACCACAGACTGGGTGCTTAAATCACAGGAATTTATTTTCCCACAATTCTGAAGGCTAGAAGTCTGAGATCAAGGTGTCAACAGGGCTGGTTTCTTTTGAGACCTCTCTCTTTGCTTGAAGATGGCCATCTTCTTTCTGTGTCTTCATACGGCCTCCCTCTGTGAATATCTGTGTCCTCATTTCCTCTTCTCGTAAGGACACCAGTCACATTGTATGAGGGCCCATCTAATGACCTCATTTTAACTAATTACCTCTGTAAACACCTTATCTCCAAACACAGCCACATTCTGAGGTGCTGTGAGGTTAGGACTTCAATATATGAATTCTGAGAGGACACAATTTAGTCCATAACAAAGTAATACTTCTCAACTCATTCCATGAGCCGGCAACGTCCTAATACCAATACCAGACAAAGAAATGACAAGAAAAAGACAGACCAACAACTCTCATGAACATAGATGCAAATATTCTTAATAAAATGTTATCAATTTAAACCCAGTGATATTGGGGCCGGCCTGGTGGCATAGCGGTTAAGTTTGCACTTTCTGCTTCAGTGGCCCGGGGTTCACCAGTTCGGATCCTGGGTGTGGACCTCTGCACAACTTGTCAAGCCATGCTGCGGCAGGCATCCCACATAAAGTAGAGGAAGATGGGCATGGACGTTAGCTCAGGGCCAATCTTCCTCAGCAAAAAGAGGAGGATTGCCAGCAGATGTTAGCTCAGGGCTAATCTTCCTTAAAAAAAATTTTTTTTAATTTAAAAATAATGAATACATACCATGGGATTCCATTTGTATGAAATCAAACAAAAAATGCAAATAATCTGTAGTGACAGAAGACAAATCAATTGTTGCCTGGAGATGGGGTTAGGGTGGTGGGGGGGATGCCAAAGAGGTGCAAGGAAACTGAGGGTGACAGATATATACATAATCTTGATTGTGGTGATACACTCATGTTAAAACTTACCAAAATTGAGAAAGTTGTTGAATGTCAGTGATACTTCAACAAAGTTTTTCTAAGTCTAATTGAAAAGTTGAGAATACACACATTGAAATTAAAATGAAAAAAAAAGAGGAAAACCCAACAACTAGATTTACCAATGTTTCCCTTCTACCTCATTCTATGGGCCTCTTAGTACCGTCACCTGTTTACCCACAAGCACCAGAGGGATCTTGAGATGTTGGACCCTCCATGTCAAAGGTTGGAAGCAGGTCAGGAAAATTGAGAGGAGCTCGACAAATGCCTAGTGTGAAGAAACACACGTCACAGTTATACTCTCCTTCAAAGAAAGCCGACCTGCATTTTAACTTCTAGGTTTCCATACGGCATCCTATTAGGACTCTTTAAACTCCTCCCCTTAAAATCCTTGCCTGGCCGTGTCCATTATTCCTAAACTGTTACATCGTGATCCTACCCGATCCTAACCAAGCCCCTCCCCTATTGCAAGACCTGCCTTAGCTGGGTCTTCAAAACCTGAGTAAACAGACTTCGCCCTTTGCCCTCTGATAGGCTGCTAAGACTCCATCAAGGGACTGCTCTTCCGTCCTGCTAAGCAATAAACAGATTGGTTTCGATAATGCAGGAAGCCAGTACTCAACATTATCCATTGCTCATATTTCCTCTTCTGAATTATTTTAATAATCTTTGCCCATTTCTTCATTTTTTTAATGTGCATTTTTGGTTTTAATCTGTAGTTTAAAAACATTAAGCTATTCTCTCCGCTCTATACGATGTAAATATTTTCTCACTTTCCTTTTAATTTTTAGTGTTTTTTGTTGCACAGAAATATTTAGTTTTCAATTGTTCAAAGTCACTATCCATTCTTTAAAAAAAAATGAATACAGCTTCCAGAACAATGCTGCCTGGGTTCTGATCCCTACTGCTTCCTAGCTGGGGACCCGTGTGTGTCACTCAGCTCTCTGAGAGCCCAGTTTCCTCATCTGTCACTCCAGGAGAAGGTAAGCCCCGCGAAAGGAGGCATTTTTGACTGTTTCATAAATTGCTGTCCCGGGCTCTGGGAACAGTGCCTAGTACATAGTAAGCACTCAATAAATATTTACTAAATGAATGAATCCACAAAGCCAGAACCATCTTGATTACCTCATAGCGTTGTTATAAGAATTAATCCTCGTGAATTTTAATCTAGAACAATCTGTGGCACACAGTAGGAGCACAAGAAATGTTAGCCCCCACCCCCAAGTAAAACTCTGCCTCTTTGTGAAGTCTTACCTGAAAATCTTCCCTCCCACTGTTATTTAAGTCATTCCCTCTTTCCTCCGCCCTCTTCCCCTCCCACTGCAATTGCACCCTTCTCCTCCATGGTAGCACTCACTCGTCACTTGAAGCTCTTAACCTTTGGGTGGCTGGAAGCCCCTTTGAGAATCCAAGGAAAGCTGTGAACACTCTCCCCAGAAAAGCGCACCTATGCGCGTGCACACACAGTTTTCCATGCAATTTCAGGGAGCTCATAGCACCCTGACACTAACCTGCCTTTGTAGATTCCTGAATTAAGTGGACATGAATGTTAGAAAGTCCTTATGGCTTCGAGCCGCAAACCTCCACAAGTCACAGGAAATTCCCGGATCAGACCATTACTGCCAGGGTCCAAACTGGGCATGGAGACCTGAGCTCCTCTGAGATGCAAATTACTCTCTCCCTTCCGGCCGGAGGGTGGTATTATCCCTTCCTCGCTGTATTTTCCTAGCTGACCCTTCAACCGGCCAGGGGTAAGGGCGTCCTGGGGCCTGAGGGCCTGGAGGAAAGCGGTTTCTAAATGGAAGCAGGGGGCTCCAGCAGATTCTCAGATCCTTTATAAGCTTCGGCAACGCTGCTAACCCACATGTTGTGTTTTGTTACCTCAGTCTCCCAGGTGGTAATCAACAAACCCTTCCTACATATTGGACCGTGTTGCTGTCTTCTGCAGCAGGAAAGACAAAATGGGAGATTGTCCCACTGCCTTTTCGGAAAAAGAGGAAGCCTGCACAGAATAAAAGTAAAGAGCCCTGGGCCTGGCAACCAGCTGGGTGGCTTCATATGAATTCTGTAACCTCCCTAAGCCTCCATTTTGCCTTAAGAAGAGTGGGACTAACAGAGTGGACCTCATACTTTTGTTGTAAAATGTGAGGTAACGTAAATCATCTTTGTACCTGGAAGCACTCAATAATTGTTAGCTGTTATTTATTAAAATTAAATAGCAATTCGAAGGGAGGATGTTGTCTGCTTACCAAAGCCAGCTGTGGGCCTGGAGTCTGCTAAGAGCGAGGAAAAGCCAAGTGCAGGGAGCTGGCCTGGGCCTCAGCCCACCGGACTCCCCAGCCTCCCCACAACCCACAGGCCTCTGTCTTCTAGTACTTTCAGCCTCCTTCTGTCTCGATGGCCCTGGGCCTCCCTTGCGTCCTGGCATTTCACACAACGGAAATGCACAGGTCCTCCAGGGGCTCAGTCTTCCCCTCCCCTTAGCCAAGAGTTAAGACTCCCCCATCTCTGGATGGTTCTGTCCCAGAGCCAACAATTATTGGACTTAAAGAACCTGAAAGACTAGTCCAGCCCTTTCTTTCATTATTCTGATTAGAAACAGCCCCAGAGGTGACGTGATTTGCCCAAAGTCGTGCAACTTCCTGGAACAAGAAGCCAATCGGAAGACGCCCATGCTGCTGTTCTTTCCGTGTTATCAGGTTACCCCAGAGCCTTAGGATCTGCTTTTGAAACGCAAAGGCGAGGTCGCCCAGGGAGAGCCACGGGAGGGAAACTTACTCGGATTTGCTAACTGCTTTTGGCAGGGGATGGGGCCGGAGAAGGGGGGAGGGTGTAACCTGCTTCCCCCCCAAAAACATAATGTGAACAGCTTTTAAATTGCTTTATGAGATCATGAATTCTAGTGAGTGCATCTTCCGAGGAGGCTGGGAACTTACCTGTTTTGTTTACCCAGCCAAGGGCCTAATGCAGAGCAGGGCCTTAATAAAAATGTACCGCATGGATGGCCGCGGGGCTGGCCGCAGCCCACTCCACCATAGAGCTGTAGGAGGTTTGGGGGAGCCAAGCCCCACCTGGGAGGCACGTAAGTCCTTTCCAGTTTTTCTCAATTGTGGCTTTGCAACGAATATCCTTTGTTCATAAATCCTTGACTGCATCTCTTGATTATTTCCTTAGGATATTTTCCTAGAAGTGGGATTACTGGGTTGAAGGGTATGCACATATTTAAGGCTCTTGATTCAGAACCCTCCAGCAGTGCAAGAATGAGTCAGCTTCCCAGCATCCTGGCCAAACCTGGGTGTTATCAGGCTTCATTTTTATTTTTTGCCCTCTTGATAGAACAAAAATGATATTTTATTTGCATCTCTTTGTGGACTAATTAGATGGAGATTGAACTAATTTTAAGAAAACACTCTAAGGAGCTCAGAGAAATCCTGTGTGGGGCAAGAGACCAGTAAACTAGGCATCTTCTGCCCAGTGAGGTGAAACCTGAGGACCCCTCTTGTCTGGAGTGATTTGACCCGAAGATGTAAACATGTGAGCCTTGCTAGGGAGCCTTCCTCTGAGGCAGGGAGCGGGCACTGTGACTAACTAGCTTCCCTGTGTTTGTAATTTTCATTTCCTGATGAGGACTAAATGTTATAAAACAAATGGAAAACCTGTGTACGTATCTTTAGGGGCAGCAAGAAAAGGTAGAAATGGGAAAACGATTTTAACTTCGAGTCCTGGAGAAGGGGGAAGGGTGGGTGGAGAAGTTCAAAGGATGCTTCCAGAAGAAGGGAGGTAAGTCCCTGGGGGTCTGCTGACAGCCTGGAGGGGGCTGGGAGAGGGAGGGAGTGAGCTAGAGGCCTGCGGGGGGGGCTCTGAAGACTTCATCCTGGAAAATCTGCTGTGTGGTTGTGGAGCTTACAAGGCCAAGGGTCCCCAAGGACCCAGAAGGGGCTTTTAATGGACTTTTGAGGATCAAAATTAAACAGCCAGGGACCAAGGAGAGTGGTACGGAAGTGGAAGGAGCAGTCCAGCTCAGGCTGCGCTCCAGGAGTGGTGAGATGGTCTTGTGTTGTCCTGGAGAAGAGGGGATGCTGAGCTGGAGAGCTCTTCTGGGCTGTGAAAGGATGTGGATTCCCACCCAGTCAGAGCCGGGAACTGTTCCCCTGCTCTTCAGATAGCCACTGCCTTCTTTTACAAACCAGCCCCTGGAGGAGAACGGGTTTACCAATGTTTACCGACAATCTTATTTACTAATCTAGCTCTCATTTACTCTCAATAAATTTATAGCCCTAATTACAGTCCTCAACATTTTCTTGATAATAAACATACAGGTTGTGTTTTACAGTTGTTGTTGGATTTTTTTTTTAACTTTGTGGGGGACTTTATTTTCTTAATTGCTTTAAATTTCCGATTAAAGTCTTAAATTTAACAGTCAGTTCCAACAGCTTAGCAATCTATGAATTTGAATTTTTTGCCACTTTAATTCTTTGAAATGGCTTAAGCCCAATATGAACCAGTTGCTCTTAGAGGTTTAAATGAGTGATTTCTAGACATCGTCATACTTCAAAATCACTTGGCGGCTTTAAAAAAAATTAGTTTTCCCTGCCTCCCTCTTGGGAGACTAATTTTATAGGGACATACCCTGGAACTGGTATTTTTGGAGAGCTTCCCAGGTGATTCTTAAGTGGCTGCTACAAAGACCAACTTTGGTGAACTGATGTCTAAATGTTTATCAATTTGTTTGTCTTTTAATGGACTTTGGAAATAGCAGTTTTAACTTCTAAAATATTAAATAATGCTTTGCATGTCTGGAAAACATTCTTTTTTCACCTCCGGCCCCATCCACCCTGGGCTTCAATTCCTGGGGCTCTTCAGTCCTTCCCGAACATTCAGTGTTCTTGCTGTCACCTCCCAGTATTCTCTGGTTTCCCATAATTCCTGGTTTTCCTCTCTGGCAGCACATTTTGGGCTTTCTTTTGGGAATAACAGTTACTTTTTCTTCTTCTACTGTCTTTCAAATCGCTTTGCTGTTCAGGGTGTCCTGGAAACTCAGGGAGAACGACCCTGGGTCATATTATCCACTCCCAGCATTCTTCTTCTTTTTTTCTTCTTCTCCCCAAAGCCCCCCCAGTACATAGTCGTGTATTCTAGTTGTGAGCGCCTCTGGTTGTGCCATGTGGGACACTGCCTCAGCATGGCCCAATGAGTGGTGCTGTGTCCACGCCCTGGATCTGAACCTGTGAACCCCCAGGCCACTGAAGCAAAACGCACGAACTTAACCATGGGGCCGGCCCCCACTCCCATCCTTGGCATCTGGGTGATGACAATCCTCGAATCTGCAGCTCTCACAACTTCTCTGGGAAGCTCTCCAGGTCCCCACATTTCAACTGCCTACTGAGCATTTACTCTTGGACATCTCACAAAGCACTTCAAATTCAATATTTCTCCAATATTAAGTTCCTAACCGTGTTTGTCCTCTGTGTTTCATATCTCAGAGAAAGGTTCTGTCACCGACTAGTTACCCCAAGGAACTCAAGGGTGGGATTTGGATATTTTAACTGTTTTTCCAAATTGTTTTTTTCCTTTTGTTATGTTAAGGAGATGCAAACACCAACCACCCTGAACCAGACCAAGCCTCACCACCAGAGCTCTGCCTATGACCTCTGCCTTATTTTCAATGCTAGGATCTCTCCAGGAGGAGCTTAGGCCTCGTTACCGTAACCTGCAGTGTATGTGCAAGCATGTTTTCTAACTGAGCCTGCGCAAGTGAATACCCACCTCTCCCTTTTGAATATTCATTCCCATCTGAAATAAATGTCCCTGCTTCCCTTTGTTCGGGGATGTCATGACTATGGAGATGATTCCTCATGGTCTCCTATTCGCTGCAAATGTACTTTACCTTATGAGACAACTACTTCTGGTGGAGAGTCTGATCCAACTCGCCAGGAGGGAACCCACTTTGTCTCGGTAACAGTTCTACCAAGTTATTCAAGCCAGGAACCTGGGAGTGACCCATTCATTCATTTAAAGCACTGGGGATACCAGAGTCTGCAAAAGAAGAATCCCTGCCCTTGTTGAATTTATATTCTAGAAGGGGAAGACAGACAATAAGCAATCAGTCCCTCGTCCGAGTGGTTAAGTTTGCACGCTCCGCTTCGACGGCCCAGGGTTTCACTGGCTCCGATCCTGAGCGCAGACATGGCACTGCTCGTCAGGCCACGCTGAGGCAGCATCCCACATGCCACAACTAAAAATATACAACTATGTACTGGCGGGCTTTGGGGAGAAAGAAAAAAAAAAGATTGGCAACAGATGTTAGCTCAGGTGCCAATCTTTAAAAAAAAAATCAGTCCCCATATCTAACAGATCCCAACTTCTTAATATCTCTAGACTCCATCTGTCTTTCCAGTCACAACCTGAGTTCAAAACCCCGCAATGGCCTCCGTCTTTCTGTCTTATTCCCTCCAACCCATTCACCCCACAGCAGTGTAATCTCTCTAAAGCCAAATATTAAATTTCTCTTCCAGCTTTAAGCTCTCTATCCCTCAAAAATAAAGTCCACCTTCACAAATCTGGGTGAAAAAGGTTTACACCCTCTGGGCCCCTGCTTGCTTCTCCACCACTGGTCTCCACCTGCGTGAATCACTCCCTGCTCAGCCGCACTGAGTTACAGCTGCAGGTCACTGCACCTGCCATTCCGGACGCCCTCCCTCCCCTCCTGCCTGGCTAACTCCTGTCCACTCTTCAGGTCTCAGCTTGGCTACTGCGACAGGCAGCCTCTAAGATGGTCCCCCTTGATCTCTGCCTCCTCGTATTCATTCCCTTGAATGTGAGCTGGATTTCCTGATGTGATTCTGAAAAATAGACTATGGCAGAAAAGATGAGATGTCACTCCTGACGTTAGGGTCCATAAAGACTGTGGCTTCTTTCTTGGGGCTCTCTCTCTCACTTGCTTGCTCTGTGGTAAGCCAGCTGCCATGTTTGAACTGCCTTGTAACAAGGGCCACGGAACAGAGGGAGGTCTCCAGCCAACAGCTGTGAGGAACTGAACCCTTCTAGCAACCACGTGAATGAGCCTGGAATCGGGCCCTCCACCGGCTGAGCCTTCAGATGAGATGGTAGCCTCAGCCGACAGCATAACTGCAACCTCATGAAAGACCTTCAGCCAGGAGGCACCCAGCTAAACCACGCCTGGATTCCTGACCCAAAGAAACTGAGATAATAAACAGTCGTTGTTGTAAGCGGCTACATTTT